ATGCTCAGAGAGCCAATTGAAATGCCGCGTATATTGTGATAACAGTAAATTACGTCAACTGGATCCATTAGCATTAATTATCGACTGTTAAATCGTCTGTCATAATACCTACAATATATTTCGCGTCGAATAAATGATAATTGTAACGAATATTTTTTCATTCCATTTTTTTCAATTCTAATTTTCTTAGCAGCATGAACAGTTAATTATAAGATTGCGAATTATTCAATTACAATTAATAGTATTCTTAATTATTTCTAGAAGTAATCATCGGCAATTATATTTGATGTTTTCATTTTGCTTTTATAATTGAGTAGAATTCTAGACATTCTAATTATACAAGTATTTGTACATTACTATGGTATACTGTGAAAATAAATATAATTTATCTTAACAGATTATGGATATTTAAAAATAATTAATATAAAATATGACATCAATAAAAAATTGTAAAAGAATTTATGTAACAGTGTTTATTTTAAAATGAATTTCGATATTCAGCATATTAAAATTATATATAATATTTAGTTGCTTATATATTTCATATTATAATTTTAGAAAAGTAATTTTTCTAATTATGTATGTAAGCTAAAATTTTTTTATAGATATCCGAAATATTTTGCACATTATAATATTTTGTGTATAATATCTTTCATAAAAATAATTATATTTTAATATATTATAATGCATTACTTAGTACAGTTTATAAACAAAAAGATTTCATTTGTAATAATTATTGAATATTTAGTGATCTAGAAATTTATACAGATCTTGTGTTAAAAAAACTATTAAATTTGCAAAATTTTTTTATTCAAAATTACAAAATTCAACATCTTATACAACATACACATTCCAAAATAATTTGAAAATCATTTAATCGATTGCGTTCGATGAAACGCCGTGATGATATAATTGATTTACGGATGAATCGAGGAAAGAGAGGGAGCAGATTATTGAGACTGCGGGCTTATCATTTACCGTCAGCTGTTGATAGGTACGGAAATCCTCTCAGCCGTCGACAATATTCTGATCGAAGCTGAATCGTGATGCAACGAATACGAGGTTCAGAATTTACAATTGCGCGTTGCTCGAATTTTCCATGTTTCGCATAACCGAATTCGAATATGGTTTGCTATGATACAAAATCGATGTTGTTCTGACCAAATATTATACTACAATTAGACATTTTTATATATATTTAAACGGCTAATAAGAATGAAATTCTAACAAAAAGTATCGAAAGATAATTGGCTTTACTTTTTAATACGGAAATGTAAATATGTGAAAGAGTAATTACTTCTGAATTTTCGCAGCAAGGATAATCCACATCCTTACATCCTGTTTAATTTTTAATCTATGTAGTAAATTTTTAGCGCTAAGAAGAATTTAATTCGGATTTTGATTATTTAAGGAAATGCTTTTTTTAGTAATTTTTCTTTCTAGTATCGATCTGAAATGCAATACAATCTGTTTTTACAATCATTTTTAATGAAGCTTATTGTGGTGAAAATTTAATTTATGTCACATTTGATTAAAATATTTATTTAAAGATTTCTGTATTCACAATGAAATTTTCTTAAACCTTTCTATTTTTTTATCGGAGCGTTTAAATTAGCAGAACATATTATATTCCTTATATTTAATGATTAAAATCGAAATAAATGGAGTTATATAATTATATTTCCTTTGATCTTTGTTTCATTAGTTCGTGTTCGTTGAACCGTTCAGTAAATAACACATACCATGGGTAAGAGACGTTGGTAAAACGGCACTGAATGGCTACGCCTACTTACTGACGTATACAGAGTACAGCATATTACATCGATTCTATACATGTACCTCGCTGCCATCGACATCGAATCATAAAAATAATACAGTTGAACATAGAACGTATTCTTTGCGACGTGTCTCGGCAAACGGAAATAAAACGCGACTGGTTTGATTTATACACAATGCCGGGAGACTCACGCTTATTATGTGACTCCTTACATCTATTTCGTTGTTTTTCGAAAAGATCACTGTATATTTGGCATATTTATTACGCATTAAGTAGTATATTGTCCGTACATAATTCGTATATAAAACGAAAGAAAAAACTCCAGAAAAAAAATACGAAAAAATATAATTGGCGCGAAACGCTACGCGTTTTTTTATCTTTTAAATAAAATGTTCATGTATAATTTGTAGTTATTGACATAGAAGTATTCTAAAGAGATTTGTATTTATAATTTTTTTACTCGAAATTCTGATTTCAAGAAACGAGTATAATATACTCGAGTATATTATTAAGTATATTCCAAATTAGCTATACTTAGAATAGAATTTCGTTATTTGAAAAGATGCAGACAATTTAATAATTATGTTAATTAGAGATTAATTGAGTCTGTATTTAACTGAAGAGCAAACTGAAACCTGATGTAATTAAAATGTTATATAATTACTACATA